GCAGAAACTGCTTAAGCTTTGGATAACCAATCTCCACCCAAGTGAAAGTTCTAATGAACCTTGGGTTCCCTGTTTGACCTTGTCATTCTCCTTAGATGGATCATATATCGTGCAGAACGTGGAAAACTGATGCTTCCATTCGGTGCCAAAGAAGCCAAATCAAACCCATAAGCATCCAATCCTCGCACAATTGTGACAATTTTGTTTCCTTTCCTTTTCTCTGTAAAAACTAAAATTTTTGGCAGCTTGCCCTTTTTCGTGGTCTTCGTAATAAACGACACAGACGTAGCCACACCGTTGATAAACTGATTCGTCTCCATCAAAATTTGATGTACAGGTGCAAACATGCGATCAAAAACTCGATCTTCGACCTCTGTAATGCGCATAGATTTATCCAATTCACTAGCAATAGGTAAAAGAGTATCGTCCAATTTGACAAATGGAATACCATCCGAGTGCCCTTCGGTTTCCAAAAGTCCTTTTGCCCTAATATATTTCCGAAGATTATCGCATAAATGTTTTCGAGAATATAACTCATCAAGAAAATCATTGTTGTCCCCATAAGAGGCTAATAAAAGGTTTTGAGGCAGGGTTTCTCCCAAAAATTTTTGCTCCATGTTATCTAAATACATTCCTGTACATAATATTCGAGTTAATTCAATAGCACTCCCATTCTTGGGAGAATATAAAGTTTCAATCGACACAATACGACGCTTAATTCCCCCTTTTGCACCTTCTCGTATCATTTGTTGCTCAGCCTCCAAGGTCTCTTCCTCTTTTGCAGGCTCATGAATAAGCTGCAAAAATTCAGCGTAATTTCGCCTATGTCGCCTTAGTATCTCACTGGATTTATTTATTTGAACGATAAAATGATTTCCTTTTTTTCCCTCAGAGACAGTAATCAAATCGGATCTCATCAACAGATATGGAAGAACCTTTTTATACTTTGTTCGTTTAAAATCAATTTGTAATTTAGCACCAGGAATTCTTGGGGCATTTGAAATTAGTAAAGGCGAAAACTCTGTAAGAGGCATAGGAAGCATAGACTGAGACAAAGCTCGAACCGTTTCACAGAGCGCAAAATCAATCAGAGCATCCTCCCCCTCAATCATTTTCAATGTAGTTTGAATTACACGACTCTGATTGAAAAAAACATTTTTCCTTAATACCTCATCATCACCATTTTCCAAATTTCCTTGATCGCCTTTTTCCACCGAAATCTCATTCACGGTATCTAATTTCGGTAAGAGAATTTCAACAACTTCATTGGCCCGAAATGTTGATGGAAGGACCGGATATACTGAACCACAAAAGGCATTAAACACAGCAAAATAAGAATCCCACAAAAGATCTTTATAACAATGAAGTACGTACACTCCTTTTCCAATTTTAGCACGATTTACAAGGCCCTCCGTAGATAGCCCAACGGCATAAGGACAGGAATTTCCAATGGAATGGACAAAAACAGTTTCTCCCAAATGCAATGTTTTATTATTTACTTCTCCAATATCCACCACACCAGGCATCATAAGGTGTGCTCCAGAAAGAATATAATGCGATGTCGCACCCTTGCACCAAACTTTTGAACCAAATAAAGAAACTACCTCCATGTCCTCCTTTTTGTAGTAGTTCCTCATCAATAATAAGAAAAATAATGTGGGGATCAAAGCTACATCCTTCCCTGCAAAAATGCCCTGCGAATCATCGGGTAAAGAAATAACAGAAAACAGCAAAGGAATCCCATTTACCACATAAAAAGCAGCCACGCCTCCAGTTGAGAATTCCCATGTGATACGATTAATACTATCACTCTTTTTCCAGAAAGAATCCAAAGAATCCAAATGGTCCTTTTCCAAAATTGCAACAAATCTATCTCTAAGCTTTTTTGACTCTTTCTTGCCCACAACTAACTGCTCCTTTGTTGAGTGCCTTTTATGGAACATCACCAATATGAATAAAAATCTATGCAAAAAGAGAAAAATTAAATAAATAAGAAAAGACAAAAATGTAGATATAAAATGTAAATAAAGATGATTAAATAATGCATATATTACGAGCAACACACAATAATATTTGTGCTTCACCAAGAAAAAAAAAAACAGATAAATTGTTGAAAAACCGTTATAATAATAAATAAATAATAACAAAGCAAAAAAGAATTTTCACATTGAAAGTAAAGCCAACAAAAGCAGCAAAAAACACAAGAAAAAAAAACACGCATATAGGAAAAAAAAAAACTATTCCCCTTTTGACTTTAAAGCAATCTTCTTTTTCGATATTCCTTTGGGTGGTTGAGGAAAGCGTTTTGCGAGAATAGTTTCCACAATTTTAAAAAGTTCCTCAGGAATTTCACGATTATGTCGAAGCCAAAGGGTATGAAGCGTTTCGTTATATACATCTTCGGGGGGAATACGGTTTTGTTTTCCGTGAGAAGCTTTCTCTGCACTCTCTTCAGTTGCAATATCCCCACTTACATCAAAAGTTCCTTGAGTTGAAGGTCTCGCTGATAAATTCAATACATCATCATAATCGCTTGAATAAACTGGTTCCTCTATAGAAATACGTTCTAAAAGGTCTGGAGAAAGACGCTCCAGTATCGGCTCCAACGCAGATATTAGCTTGTAAGCACCATAAAATGTGATGCAATTTGCACGTAGATTAAGCGTTTTTATTTTAGATGAATTTCGCAGGAAAGAGGCAATAGCAATGGCCCCTTTGTCGTGTATATCATTGCATGACATGTGCAAGGTTTCCAAATTATGAATACATTCTGCAGCTGCAGTTGCACCTTTATCACCAACGTGGTTCCCATCCAAGTTAAGGTGCTTTAAACATCGATTTCTTTTCAAATAATGAAAAAACTCCACAGCGGCTTCCTCCTGCATATCACACATTGATAAATCCAAGGTCGTAACAGTATTATTTAAAATTAGTTTCCTCCCAAGACTGACACACCTTTCTGGACCGAGAAATGTAGCGGACAAGCTCAGTTTGATTCCCCATTGCGGTGGTGGATTTAGGTAACGCTGAATCAAAAAAGCAGCTTCTTCGCTCGGCCTTAACCGCCACATATGAAGGCTTGGAGCGTCCGGATCGGGAGGAATGGTGGCGACCTCAATAATTTCCACCGCTCGCCGATAGGCGTGTTCGGCGTCCTCGATCATTTTCACCCTAAGAAGCACCTTTGGAAAAATCGAACGAAAATAATAACAAAAACGCTTTAGAAACTTGAGAAACCCAACAATTTAAACGCACAAAGCCCCTCGAAACAACCCGCCCCGAAGCAGGACGAAAAGAACAACCGGAACAACCTAAAAACGAAAACGGAACCAAACACAGCTAGCGAAGACGCCGGGAAAGAATAAAAACCTACAGCGAGGACGTGCCCGGCGGGACCGGCGCGGCTCCGGGGCCGCTCCGCGGCATTTTGGCCTTCCGGTTCTCGTTCTTAAGGGCGCCGCTCCCGTACGCCCTTTTATTGCTATTGTTATTATTACCACCCTTGCCATTATTATTGGTGGCAGCGGTTGTGGGTTATTGTGCGTTTGCTTCCTGAGCACTTTTGTTTTCGTTGCTGTTTTTTTTTTTCTTTTTTTTTTTTTTTTTTTTTTTACCCATCTGCAGCTACCCTCGTTGAAAATAAAAGTTTTGTTAATGAAGAAAGAACAGGTATTGCAGCAGGAAGAGAGCGATTCCGCCCTCGCAAGGCGGCTTCATGAGGAAATAAATGGCCCTGGAAACGTCCAACCCGGAGCTGGAAGCATTCCCAATCAGGCATCAGGTGTGAAGCTCATAGAGTGCCCTGCATGCACCTTTATCAATAACATTACTGAATTTGTGCCTGGCCGCTCTTATACTTGTGAACAGTGTTTTACTCCTCTTTCTGTTCCGGCATCAAATGAAACAATTGATGCACCAGATAGTAACCAGAAGATGGTTATGTGCAACGCTTGTCAATACATGAATCGGATTCCTTTGGGGAATTTTGACGCCATTGTTTGTGGTGCCTGTTGTCACAAACTCAAAGGCAAGACTCCGGTGAGTGAGACTCAACATCCCCAATTGCCTCCCGCTTCCACACGGCCACTTCAGGTTCGCTGTGGAGAATGTAGTAGCATCAATGCATTGCAGGTTGGTATGGAAGTGTCATCTGTGAGGTTTGTGTGCGGTTCCTGT